TATAATAAATATTATTTTAAGCTCAGAGAACATATGAATGTGTGTGTATATGTGTGTATGTACATGTGTACATATATTCATTAAGCTATAAAAATACTTTGTTCAGCCTAGGTGCGGTGGCTCAGACCAGTAATTCCAGCACTCTGGGAGGCTGAGGCAGGTGGACTGCCTGAGGTCACGAGTTTGAGACCAGCCTGAGGAAGAGCAAGACGCCCCTCTCTAAAAAAAAAAAAAAGCTGAGCATTGTAGTGGGTGCCTATAGTCCCAGCTAATTAGGGGGCTGAGGCGAGAGAATGGCTTGAGCCCAGGAGTTTGAGGTTGCTGTGAGCTGTGATGCCAGGGTATTCTATCGAGGTCACAGCTGTTTAGGCCAGACACAGTGGCTCACGCCTATAATCCCAGCACTCTGGGAGGCCAACGTGGGTGGATTGCTTGAGCACTGGAGTTTGAGATCAGCTGAGCAAGAGCAAGACCCCATCTCTAAAAATAGCCGGGCGTTGTGGTGCATGCTTATAATCCCAGCTACTGCAGAAGCTGAGGCAAGAGAACCGCTTGAGCCTAAGAGTTTGAGGTTGCTATAAGCTATGATGCCATAGCACTCTACCAAAGTGAGACTTTGTCTCAAATAAATAAATAAATAATACTTTGTTCATATATGTAGCTGCATAGAACCATCTAAATACAAAAAAACTACAATCTGAACCTATTACCTTCAAGATAGCTTCCTACTGAAAAACAGCACACAGTTTATGATTTTATACCATACAGTATACGTGCATATATGCATAAGAGAAACAAAGTCAACGTGTCAACAGTGGTTCTGTCCTCTGGGTGGTAGGATTAGATAGGATTTTCATTTCCTTCTTTTTGCTTATCTGTGTTTTCTTTCTTTTTTTTTCCCCAAAATTAGCATGGATTAGTTGTATATAAAATATTGGCTAACAATCTTTCGGTTCTTAGAACTTTATAAAAATGGACAAAATTTAACGTCCAACAACATACTTACATAGTATGGTTCCGCTTCCCTTTCAGTAATCTCATCCTGATACAGAGTGAAGCAAGTTGGAATTCGTCCAAACCACACATCTCGAAGCACATCTTTGTCATCTGTCATTCTTCCAGTGGTTAAGACAGTACATGCAGGCCAAATTCTTTTCAACCAAAGCCAAACTGAAAATAAAATAAAGAGCATTAGTCAGATCCTTATGACTGAATGAGCCTGCCACAAAACAAAAGATTATAGGAAAAAAATTAATCCATAAAGATTATTCACTTCAAAAAAACCGTGAGCAGCATTCTTTAAAATGAATGCAAAAAATCAGTACAACAAATTCTAAAAGCAGAGGTATTATATATTTAAAGAGATCATAGAATTAATTCAAAATTACATATGCAAGTAATGTTCACTACATATGTAAGTAATGAACCACAGTCAAAAATCAAACTATACTTGCATCATCTTTTCAAGCCGAGAAGAGTCTATTACTTATCAAGAGAGAACCCCTCACCTATTCCCTATGAACCCTGACTGCCCAACTCCAAAGGATCATTCTCACAATCACTATTGCCTCACCAAATATACTGAACCTCTCCTACTCCAAATAGTTCATTCTCTCTTCCTGTAAAAATACTATTTAAAAAAAAAACAGTAAAAAATCTTTTAAAACATTTAAAAATCATCTTTAAAAATCTTTGTATAAACCTATTCTCCATTCTAAATTTCATCCTATCCACAATTTGATCTCACCAATATTCCCTGTCTTCTTTATTATACTTCTTTTTATAAACCACCTAGCAAAAGTGGTTTCCTAAACATCTTACTCTGTGTCCTACCATTCCCCTGGCTGGTATGTTCTTCTCTTGCCTACTGAAATCTACCCACTCTGCAAAAGAAGCTCACAGTCCTCTGCCCCAGTGAAATACTAAATGCTTCCACTCTGAACTATTAGAATATTCCCTGAACCCCAAATATAGGACTAAATCTGCAAGCTGAAATATTCTGGGACAAAGCTTTTAACATCTGTAATATCCAAGTGTCTTCCAATGTTAATAGTCTATGATTAAATACCACTACATTACACGAGTAAATGCTGAAATAAATACTGTTGACAATACATGCTTAGAGTAACTCAATAGACAGCACCCAGATTCTAAGAGTCACTACACTTATCTAAATAATATTTCCCATCTTTCATAGGCAGCTAATTTATAATCATAATGTGTCCTGTCATAACATTCTAAATAACTATATGAATTTAGCCAAATTCAATTACCACTGAATTATTCAAGCTTGTTTCATGTCTTTTCTCTTCCACTGACCAAAGCCATGTACATAAAGACTGCCGTAAATTAGTTAGTCAAGGGAGAAAAAGCTGAATGTTTCCCGCCTCTTTCTGTTTATTTACCTGTAGATACAATGTCAGGTAAATATCTACTATGTAGATGCAATGTCATCTACAGGTAAACAAATGGAAAGAAGTGGGAAACATCTAGCCAAAGAAAAAGTACTAGGCAACAGTCAAATCAGGATAAGAACTCTGGTACTTAATCTGAGCCCAGTGCTCTTTCTTGTGTTTTAGCTTTTATTAATATATATACATAAAAGTGACTGTTTTAAGAAAAAGACACAACCATATAAACCTCACATAGTTCCACACTGATAGCCTTCAAATTCAAATGACAATTGACTTTCTGCACTTAGCAGAAAATCTCCAAGTTTACAAATCATTAACTTACAAAAAATTAACTCACTGAAAAACAGGAAAGACTTCATGACTTCCTGATTACATTAGTAGTTTGCTCTTTTAAAAATAAATTTACTGGCTGGGTGTGGTGGCTCACGCCTCTAATCCTAGCATTCTGGGAGGCCAAGGGGACTGGATTGCTTGAGCTCAGGAGTTCAAAACAGCCTAAGAGTGAGATCCCATCTCTACTAAAAATAGAAATATTAGCCAGGAGTTGTGGTGGGTGTCTGTAGTCTTAGCCACTTGGGAGGCTAAGGCAAAAGGATCACTTGAGCCCAGGAGGTTGAGGTTGCTGTGAGCTCTGACATCATGGCACTCTAGCCTGGGGCAACAGAGTGAGACTGTGTCTTAAAAAATTAATTTACTAGTGACAGGAATAAATAAAATCCATATTATGTATGACAAATAAATAAATCTAAAACTGAATCTGATATAAAATGGTAAGCAGTAGTTTTTGTGACCATCAACATCCAATCAATCAATAGCTACAACTGAGATTCCCACTTGCCCACGAAGAGAGAACAATTTGAGGCAAAGAGCTCTTCAAAGAAGAGACTTTAAGAAAATAAAATGTAATTACAAATTTAAAATTGAAAGGACATTACCAATATTGCCACAGTGGATGGTTTTCTCCTCAGAAGAAGCAGGGAATTCAAAATTAAGGTGTGTATGACCACGTAAGGAAAGGCATCCTGACTTCCTCTCCAAGCACTACCCTTCTCTCAAGAATGCCTCTGGCCAAAATAGCTGTTTGAGAAAGAGCAGTGAAAAGACTTTGTGCAGGCATACTTGTAAGAAATTGAGGCAGAATCCCATGTGGCCAGGTTGGTTGTGAGCCTAACATGATAAAGGCTTAGGCTGGAACAGCATTTACTGCGTTAAGGAATTAAGGTTGACTTTATAAGGCCAATAAAAAAGCCCTTGGGAAAACTGGCCAGATACCCATCAGTAACCTTTCCTGATCTGTGGTAAGTAACGAAGGTAGCTTGCTGACAGGTCCAGGAATGGAATATGCTCAGGGACCTCGAGAGAAGAAGAATTTACCCAATGCATACAGATATTTAACAGCACAGATGAAACTTGGGCACCTGAAAGGCTTTTGAGAAGTCCAGCCTGAAAATTCCTTATAATAGGTTCCAGCAAAAACGTCCTGACTTAAGGCCTACATGGGAGCAGAGGTTTACACACAAATTCCTGTATGCCCAAGAAGTTTCTTTATTTTTTTAATATCATCATATTTATTTCCCTACAGGTAATTTTTCTAAAGTTTCAACAATTTCTCCTCAAAAAGACAAAAATGTCTCAAAGTTTAGAACTGGATCACTTGGCCCTTTCTTTTCTTATCTCCTCCCAGTTCAGAATGCTTGCATCTCTTAACAGCCAGCATCCTCTTGGATCTGCAGTTAGGCTAAACACATTCCAGACTTAGCACAATCTTCTTTGTGGTTTTAGCCTTCCTCCGAAAAATTGGCTTTGTCTGACTGCCACAGCCACTCTGCTTTCGATCATAGCACTGCTTTCCTTGGGCATACAAGGAATCCTTGCCCTTCTTATACTGAGTCATTTTGTGAGGCTGATGCTTGCCACGCTTCTTACAGAAAGTTCTTCGGGTTTTAGGTACGTTGACCATCTCTATAGTAGAACTGTCTCTACGATGAAATCATGAAACTCAGCGTCCACAGCCCTCACTTCCCCCCACTGGCGCTCTCGCCTAAGAAGTTTCTTTATGCCTTATTTAAAGATTCGAAGTAACAGCCTCCAAACGGCAAGGCCAACAAGGGCAGGTATTCAATCTACCTTGTTCCTCCATAGCCTCAGGCATAATCAGATAAGAACAAAGAAGTAATGGCTAACATGTTCTCCATTAAGTTATGCTAAATTGGGTTATGTTGAAAGGGTTATGTCAAAAGGTGTATGTTGAGTGATTACCGGAAGGTAATTAGAGGTAGTCACATTTAAATGGATCAATGAGGTCATTGCTGTATTGTGCGCATGTACAAAATTCCCTATATAAACCAACCACAAATAAAGAAGCTTGCCATTTTGCCTAAGCGAGCAGATGGTCACCTTTATTTAAAACACAATTTCAATAAGCGTGCTTATTCTCCGCGACATCGCTTTTCTACAAGACCCATATGGCAACAAGATTCCAGGACACCATTAGAGCTGTGTTTATTAATAGACAGGGATCACCATAAACCAAAATATCAAGCATATGACCGTGGCTCCCTTCTCTTCCCTCTAGCCTGCCAGATGAGAACACTTGACCATCCTTTTTCTGTGGCATTCTCTTTTGCTTCTCCCTTCCATGTGTTAAGAGTAAAACCATACTTGGGTGGCGCCCGTAGCTCAGTGGGTAGGGTGCCCGTTACATACGCGGAGGCTGGCAGGTTTGAACCCAGTCCAGGCCAGCTAAAATAACAATCACAACTGCAACAAAAAAAATACCTGGGCATTGTGACAGGCACCTGTAGTACCAGCTACTTGGGAGGCTGAGGCAAGAGAATTGTTTAAGCCCAAGAGTTGGAGGTTGCTGTGAGCTGTGACACCACAGCACTCTACCCAGGACAACATCATGACACTCTGTCTCAAAAAAAAAAAAAAAAAATAGTAAAAACATACAGTCAATGCTCTCTTTTTTGTTGTTTCTGAGAGTCTCTCCCCACAAGTGATACAAATATAGACTTAAGGGGAAGAGAGAACACATAAAGTCTTTAAACTACAAGCTTTGCTTCTGAAGTCTTATGTTCCTAAACAACCCCCTCTATAAGTGGGCAAGAGATTTGAACAAAACTTCCCCAAGGATGACAAACGAATGACCAACAAACACATGAAAAAATGCTCATCATCTTTAATCATCAGGGAAATGCAAATCAAAACCATTCTAAGATATCATCTAACTCCAGAAAGATTGCCCACATCATAAAGCCCCAAAACACCAGATGCTGGCATGGATGTGGAGAGAAGGGAACACTTCTATACTGCTGGTGAGACTGCAAACTAATATAACCTTTTTGGAGAGAAGTACGGAGAATCTTCTAAGACAGGGGTCCTCACACTTTTTAAACAAGGGGCCAGTTCACTGTCTCTCAGACCATTGGAGGGCCGGACTGCAGGCCCCGGGACAAGTTGGCTGCTAAGCAGGACAGGCAGCAGCGGCAAAAACACCCAGCAGGCTGGATAAATGTCCTAGGCGGGCTGATGTAGCCTGCAGGCTGTAGTTTGAGGACACCTGCTCTAAGATCTAAAAGTAGACCTTCCCTTTGATCCTGCAATCTCATTACTAGATATCTACCCAAAAGAACAAAAATCATTTTACCACAAAGACATTTGCATCAGAATGTTTATTGCAGCTCAATTCATAATTGCCAAGTCATGGAAGCTATCTAGTTGCCCATCAACCCATGATCAACAAACTGTGGTATA